ACTTGAAAAAAGGAAACATTCCATGTCGTGAAAATATTTCCTAAATTTAAGAAATTATCGTTGGTTTGAAGTGAGTATCTGTCGTTTTGATCTAGGTAAACTGTTTACTTAGAAATAGGAAACAGTTGCGTAACTCCCACGTGCATTTACTGGCTTCAAGTTAATGGTTTGTTTAAAATTAGTAAACGGCGGATTGGACGGGAATGCGCGTTTATTTTATTGAAACCAACTGTTGCCTTAGAATTAGTAAACGGGGACGCCCAGCCAGAATGGATGTTGCCTAACTCCCAGGCGTGTTTACTTAAATCAAACCAACGAGCGTCTTGGAATGAGTAAATGGGCAATGTCCGACTAGCATGGATGTAGCATAACTCCCAGGCGTGTTTACTTAAATCAAACCAACGAGCGTCTTGGAATGAGTAAATGGGCAATGTCCGACTAGCATGGATGTAGCATAACTCCCCGGCGCGTTTACTAAATTGAAACCAACGGTTTCTTTAATTTCAGTAAACGGCCGGCATAGGGAAGGTAGGCTACATGCTGAGCAGGGATTGTTTTATTGCATACTCGCTCGTTGTGCAGGCGTGCTTACTGCTTTTGAAAAATTTGGATGGCCTCCAGCAGAATCAGCCTAAACGCACTGTTCTACCCTGTGAAAAACGACTCATTTTATGAACTTATTTTATGTACATAAAAGTAGCTGTTTTTCACAGAGATCACTGTTGTTAGGCTATGATTCTTCTTGAAGTCGTTCACATTTTTCAAAAGAAATACACAAATCATCAAAACAAGTATGCAATAACACAATCCCTATACTGCATGCCTACTTTTCTTCCGCCAATCATTTGCTGCGATAAATTGTTTTCAGGAAAAAATGAGATGCATCGATTTTGGTCATATTATTGTCTCTGCTGCAGATCATGAGAAGTTTGTCTATTTTACTGAATGATTACTGAAATGAATCCAAAAATCCTAAACAAAACGGAACTTTTTTCCCTAGGAGAGTTATCAGTGTAAAATAAGACTAATATTGAACAATTAGCAGGGAATTAAATCTATTTATTCTCAGAAAAAGAAGATGAAACATGGATGTGGACAAAATTAAGCAGTGAGTTTTTTACAGTTTGTATACCTGTCATGAGATAAAAATGTTCTAAAAAAACAAATCATTCCATTAGGACACTTAAATTAATAAAAAAAAAAGTTCATACGACCAATTATACAAAAAAGAAAAGAGGAAAAAAGAGAGATTAAGACATTAATGAAGGTACAAGTACGGAAAAGGCTCACCTCAGGATATTCATGGTAGACTTAATCTTAAATTTAACTGATACTTAATACCTAAGAACAATAAGTTGAAAAAGTAACAGGAAACGATACTTAAACCTGGAAAAGATAACCCTCCCCCCTCCAAAAAAAAAAAAAAAAAAAAAAAAAAACAGGACAAAACAAAGCAGCAAGTAAAGCTACAGTGAGTAAATATACAATAAATTTAAATAAAAATTGGGAGATTGGGGGCAAAATCTGGGTCAGTAATGAGAATTCAAAGTAAAAACGTACCTCCTTGATTGAGAGACATTAATAGTTGGATTGCATTTTGTAGGATGGAACAAAGAGGATTCCAATGCAACTGAGATAATGCAACTTTTTTTCAGTCTTATCTCACAAAAAAGAAGGAAAAGACATTGATTCAGGTACACGTGGGAAAAAGACCACAGGATAAGTGACCTCAGGATATTAATGGTAGACTTATTCTTAAATTTATCTGAGACTTAATAACTAGGAACAATAAGTCGAGAAAGTAACAGGAAACAATAATAAAACCTAGAAAAGATGCCCCTCTCAAAAAAAAAAAAAAAAAAAAAAAAAAAAAACAGAACAAAACAATGCAGCAAGTAAACCTACAGCGAGTAAACATAAAATAAATTTAAATAAAAATTGGTAGAGTGGGGGCGAAATCTGGGTCAGTAATGAGAATTCAAAGTGAAAACGTACCTCCTTGATTGAGAGACATTAATAGTTGGATTGCAATTTGCAGGAGGGAACCAAGAAGATTCCAACGCCACTGAGATTATGCAACTTTTTTCGGTCCACCTCACAAAGAAGAAGGAAAAAGGGAAGGAAAAAACATTAATTCAGGTACAAGTGGGGAAAAGGCTAACCTCAGGATATTAATGGTAGACTTATTCTTAAATTTAACCAATACTCAATGACTAGGAACAGTAAGTCGAGAAAGTAACATGAAACAATAATAAAACCTAGAAAAGATTACCACTCCCCCCCCCCCCCCAAAAAAGAAAAACAGAACAAAACAAAGCAGCAAGTAAAGCTGCAGTAAATAAACATACAATAAATTTAAATAAAAATTGGTAGAGTGGGGGTGAAATCTGGGTCAGCAAAGATAATTCAAAGTGAAAAAATACTTGATTTAGAAACATGAATTGGATTGCATTTTGTAAAAGAGCATTCCAGTGATGCTATAATTGTATAACTTCTCTTACCTTCCAAATATTAACATTGATCAACAAGGTTTATTTTTACTCCCAATAAACTATCAATTTAAGACGAAAATTACGTTTGTTAATTGATCAACAACTTTTATCTTTACTCCCAATAAACTATGAACTCAAGACGAAAATTACCTTCGTTCGTGTAATTGTTTCCATGATTTCAGTAATTTTATTGCAAAGAAAATAAATTACATAATCCTTGCAACATTTGAATTCTTGGTTCTTTTCTGCTAGATGAATTACAATTTTACATGATTTACAATTATTACACACATAACCCAACAGAATGGCAAGAAAGCACTCTTAATCAAAAGTTACATAACTTTCACCTATACTTTAACCTCATGTTGGTAATTAATAGAAGTCACCAAAAGGAAGTAAATAACAATATTAGGTATATATGGTAGTAATAAAAATAATTTAAACTTAAACAAAGGTACGAAATTTCTCACCGAAGAAAATAAAAGTAATCCAAACAATTAAACTTAAACAAAGGTAAGAAGGCACTTAGGCTGAATTCTTGATTACTTAAGTCTATAATCAGTCCAATCAGGGTGGTTAGCAACATTTTATTTCATCATTCCCTGACTGCTAATGAAATTCCCTGACTTTTTTCGATAACGTAAGGGCACTTAATGTAGCCAAAAAATACCCGTGAAGCATTACTGAGCAACAACCTTCAGGTTTAGGTTTACAAGGAACCCGCTCCCCAAAAAATTCCCTGACCGTTGGCGAAATTCCCTGACTTTTCCCGGTCGCCAACCACCCTGTTCAAAGCAATTACACAGGAAAAAAGTATGAGGATTAAAACTACACTCTTGGCGGATTTCGCACCGGTTAGAAGTGTAGTTGCGCCAGCCACACATACGGTTGAATCAGCCAAAAATGTGATTACTCAACCATACCTCTGGCCGGGCAACCACACTTCTGTCTGGCGCAATTACACTTCTGACTAGCGCCAAAATCAGCCAGGCTTACGTTAAAAGTCCTCTTCAAGCTAGAAGTGTAGTAGAATTCCTCATACTTGCTTTTCTTGTGCTATATTGCAAAAAGTCAAGAACAAAATAAATGAACAATAAATGAAAACAAAGTTAAAAAAATATAAAATAAGACTAAATGAGAGCACCTCCAATTTGTCCTAATTGAAGAACCGTGCAATACTTAAAATTTGAAAAACCGTGCAATACCGAAAATTTTAAAAAATTAGAAAAAATAAGAGACAAAAAAGTGGAAAATGACTCGCTGGTCCCAGCTAAAGGGACAAATCATTTCTGGAATAGAGGAGTAATACATTGCGAAATCATTTTTTTGAGCGATTAATAGTTAAATTATTTGCATGAACTAACAGTAATTAATTTGAAATCGTTGAATTTGACAATATTCAAGTGAATAATTTTAACTTGATCAAAAGTAATTCACCAAATTATATACAGGATGTCCCAGGGTTGAAGGTCAGTCTGCTGGAGTGTGCTTTATGGATCGAAAACAGACTTTTTTTTTCTAAGAGCGAGTCTAGTTGGAGAGCAACAGCCCCTCCAATTTTTAGGGGAACCATGTTTTTTATTTTTTTAGTTTCAGGAATATTTTGAAATCAGAACTCATGAAAAATAGTCTCTTCTTCTATAATTTGCAGGGCAGAATTCATCTTTGACCTTAAAAACATAAAAATCTTAAGTTTAAGAAGGATTACAGGGAGCCTTAATTCTTGGAGGGTAAAAACTGGAGTTTATAGCACCTGAAATCTCTCTGTAACTAAAGATTTTTATACTTGGGAAGCCATGGATGAAAATAACACTAAAAGTTAAGGGAGATAACGATTCATATGAAATTTTGTCTGTAACTTCTACCAAATTTCGGCAGGCAGGATGATTTTCCCCAAAATTTGGGGGGATAAAGGTTGTCTAAATTAAGAGAGTTGTATCTAAACTAAGTTGCTCTGAGTGGAGGCCTGTTTCGATCAAATTAACAGAGGAGGAAAAAAATTGTAAGTATTATCCCATAGAACTCACTCCTGCGGTCTGGTTGTTGAAGCTTGAAAAATCCTGTGTAGTAGTACAAATCATTGAATTTAAATGAAGGTAAGACAGTACTTAGGCAGAGCTCCTGATGAAGTCTAAAATCAGTCTAATACAACAACTAGGGAGCTAGAAGTCAGGAACCAAATAAATAAAAACAAAGTCAAAAAACAAAACGAAACTGGAAAAGACTAAATTGAAGAACCGTGAACTGGAAATGAAAAAAAAAAAAAAAAAAAACTGAAAAATCCCTTGAAAAAAGGGAACTTAATAAACAGACAGTGTGTCATTGACAACTTGTATCAGAATATTTTCATTTTATACTGATACAACATATATTTTACAGCAATGGGCGAGTCACATGGCACAGCTTATGTTTATTTAACAAGGAGAAACGTTGAGCCAAGGAGCATATAAACTTCATATTAAGACAAATGACATAAAAAAGATCAGCAGAGGCCGACACATTGTTGACCTAATCACTGACAGGCAATTGTAAATTTTCTAAGCGATGACCAAGGTTTTCTACGGCTGGAATGACTTTCGCGTTTTGCAATTGCAGACCATAGATGTACTTGCCGATGAAGGTCCATGGTAGGACACAGTCAGGTGGGAAAGGCGCCTCCAAGGTGATATATATCTTGAAACACAGGTCTATTGATTTCAACAGTGTTGGGCATTCAAAATATGTTCCATTAGCATAGACAAAAAAGCTACCTGCAGACAGCGGACCTATGAACACTGGGACTGGAGGGAGACATTCACCATGAGCTGCCAATCGGGATCGCCGTGCATCAATTTTGAAATTGCAGTCTGTTTCATTATCAGCATACAGAATGAATGCATCTTTGCATTCTAATCTAGAAAGTTTCCACTTGCCTTTGATGACAACCGATGGAAAAATGACTATCAAGAAGTAAAATGCATTCAGAGAAACTGCGTCAGGTTCTAAAAAAAAGGAAAACGGAAGCTAAAATTAATGGGAGCATCAGAGCCAGTGACTAAAATAGTGAATAATAATTAAAGGGGAATAAAATAATAAAAAAAAGCCCATGAAATATAGATGGGACATTTGCTCTAACTGAGAAGAGCTAGTTCAAGGAAGATAACATACTTTGGCATAAAACAGGAAATCATACTTTGTCGAGGCACTAGAGAACAGTTAAAAAACAATTTTGAAGAAACCAGTTTCATAATTACATATAGTATCTAAATTTTACATGAAAATTCAATGAGAGCATATATAATTTTTCTTACCTTTATCATTTAGATTAACCTCCAATGACTTTAATACATTCAGTAGTTCTTTGTTCTGCACGCACATTTGCTCTGCTAGAAATATTATTTTCGCTTCCATTTTAGGCCAATTGCTGAGGAATGTTACTTGAGCTGATGGATGCTTTGCTGCAAAGTCTTCTTCGAACTAAAATACGAAAATTTAATACCAGTATAAGAAAGACGAACACCTATAAGTGTCTGCAGAGCATAACATTTAAACTTGACCTTCAAATGAGAATTGTTTCCAAAATAAAAAAGAATAAGGGAATACAAGAGACAGAATATAATAAATATATCAAAGAGAGAGGAAACATTAAATTACCAATAAAAAGGGATAAACAAGAATACAATACCAATAAACAAGAATAAAGAAAAAGGTACGAAATAAAAAAAAAATATAAGTGAAAGAATAAAATAAAAAAAATGTGAGTGAAAGAAAACAATAAATAACATGAAAGAGACAAAAAAGGCAGTGCAATGGGTATCACCCTCTTTGGCCTGAATAGCGCACAGAAATTTTCTATATCAATCAACGTAGTGCAAAACCACGTATCTCCGTTTGCAATAATGTTTACTTCCTGTCATATTTTCCTTTTTCAGCCAAAAGTTAGAGAACGCAATTAGGCCAGAATACTCCGTAAAAATTTCAAGATTTAAAGTTGGCTTGTATCGCTTGGCATAGATCAAAGGGGAGCGGAAATTTTGAAACATTGCAATGGGGTTACGTTGTTTCGCACTTGGGCCATTGATATGTTCCTATGGGAAAAGGCAGCTTCCCACAGAAGTGCTTCTACCACTTGCCATTTGTTGGGAAAATTCAGTAATTTTAGACGGTTTGGGGACTCATTTGTGTTAGAAATAAATAGAAAATAGAATGAATAATTGCTGATTTGGGAAATATTATTTTCGAGGAGGGCTCCGATATTTAGATGGTTTTTGCTGCCGTTAGGAGACAGTATTGAAGTGAGGTGCTGGGTGCAGCATGTTTATCAGAGAATGAACTGCTACCTAGTTCTGAACTATTATGAAAATAGGCCAAAGACAAAATTATTTGTTTATCTAACAGGGCTGTAATCACCTCTATTCTAAATGAATATGTATCGCAAACTTGGTACCAAACATTAGGGACATTCTTCATTTTATGGTGAAAAACAAAAAATAAGTTCTTACTAATTCGGATGCTTCTGAAAGTTTCAAAGCAGGGTACGACTCAAAGTATGAATTAATGTTCTCTCCACTTCTTATAAAAAGTTGTAAGCGTTCCATGAGAGTCGCCTTGAAATAATCTTTCACCTCTTGCCAGGGTTTGTCATTGTGCCTCAACCATGTGATGTTCATGGAGGGTTCTCCAGGAAGAGCTGAAATAATACAAAGGTAATTGTGATCAGAACATTTTGCGTAGATTTACCTAATCTGGTTGAATATTTAAGATTCCAAGTCATTTATGAAGGTGAAAATCCTTGTTGCATTTACTATTCAAACTATTTCCAGAACATAAGGTTTTTTACATTAGAGACACAAGCTTTCTTGAGCAAACAAGTGGAATGCTCCAAAGTAAAACCATGGCAGAGTGAAAATGCACAAGCAAAACTTTCAATATCTTTCTCATTAAAGCAAGTACAGCATTAACGACTAACAGTTATTAGAGGGGTACAGTGTGCAATACTACGTACCATTGTTGTCTGTGGTGGAAGTCGTAGGCTTCTTTCTTTTCCTCTGAACAATTCCATTACATTTCATCTTCTCCCTCACATTCTTATATCTATCATACAGCTTTCCTTTTGCGTAGTGTTTCTCGCCATCTTTTTTACAGTACGGGATGAAGTAGGTACTAGGTGTTTCAGAGCGAAATGCTAAGCAGATATCTTGGGCAAGAGCCTCAAACCGCTGCGCAGATAAAGTCTTCCACAATTCTACGCCTAATTCATCTGCTATAACAATCCGGGCCAGTTCATTCTGTTTCGATACGGATAAACATCCGTTCACTTCAAAATGCCGAAGAATGCCCATCCCTTCTATTGTTTGAGATAATAAAACCTTTACATGGTTTCCTGGGGCATGTTTAGGATACTTCTGATGGGAAGCACTTAAAATGTTGTTTAAATTGCTGGAAATTTGTGATACGATTTGAGGAGGGGTGGTAACACATGAAGTGATTGGGACACCTGTTGAGAAGAAGGAATTAGAAGTTGACAAAACAGAAGATGTTGATGGAAAAAGCAAAGCTTTAGAAGCAGGAAAAGAAGAAGGGATTGAGGATGAAGTACAGGAAGTGTCGATTTGATTAGGGGTTGATGAGCAACACGGTATAGAAGAGTAGTGGGCTTCCGAGTTAGAGCCGAGGATTTGTAGAGTGACAGTGGTAACGCAGGAGGTGACCGGGAGACCGGCTGCAGTGAGCAAACTGGGAGTGGAGGAGACATGAGGAGTTGAGGAGACATGAGGAGTTGAGGAGACATGAGGAGTTGAGGAGACAAGAGGAGTTGAGGAGACAAGAGGAGTTGAGGAGACAAGAGAAGTTGAGGAGACTAGAGGAGTTGAGGAGACATGAGGAGTTGAGATCAGGGACGAGGTTTGGGAGATTTGTCCCGGGGTTGGTGGTTGATGGGTGCCAGCAGAGAAGCTGGTTGATTCACTTGTTACAGGGAGAGAATGAAACGTGGGGGAAACAAATAAAGCACCAGAGGCTGAGGTTGAGGAATGAGGAATGGGGATTTGCATCGGGGTTAGTGTAGGAAGAGAATCAACCCATGAGCTGATTGAGCAACTGGTTACAACAAGAGAATTTGGAGTGGAAGAAAATAAGGTTCCCTGTGAAGATATCGATGAACTTTTAACAGAATTTAGCGTTTGCGCAGGGGAAGTAAGTGTCGCATAAGTTTTCCCCTTGCAGGGACTAAGTTGCACAGATGTAGCCTCAGAATCGACTTTGGTGACTTCGATTCCATTACGGGGAGAAAAGCATTGTACAGCCACTTCTGAATCATCAACAAACTGGTCATGGAGGGGATCAGGTGCGAACAGTCTCTTTTTTGGAATACACTTCCTTGGTGATTTTGTCCCATCCTGCAATTTCAAACCAAATGACGATAATTATCTACCATAAAATTGTAAGAACTTGTAATTAATATAATTTTGTTTTAAAGAATTCAACAGCTTCACTACATTATAAACTTCTTGCACGCTCAGGAAAAAACACTGCTGTATTTCAGTAATATACTGAGATGTCCTTTCAATATACCTGACCATCAATAAGTATTTGTACCACTGCTGGTGCTGTTACAGTATGAGAAATGGAGCGATACAAAAACTTCATCGCGCAATAATAATGCAGCGGCAGAAAAAGCGTACTTGGGCCAACTACTGAAGGCTGTGCTAAAGGCCAACTCAGTCAAGTAAATCATCGAAAGAGGTCATGACATTGATATTGTTTGAGTCCTAAGTCCAATCAAATAATGTGGCACGTCCCTGGGGTGACATGACAACTAGCAGAACTTGAGAAAGAAAAGACAGCACAAATGTCACATCGAACAATGGCACTGTCCAACATAAATTCATAGGGTGACCAATGAGTCAACTGGTGATTGATGCATTCATGTTAATGTGACATTCGTATCTTCTTTCCTATTTTCAGATCTAGGGTTGGTAGAAGTGCCTGACCTGCGCACTACTGGAGAGGTTGAATACCCACACCAAATGAGTTCACCAACTTTATGAGTCTGGTGGAAGATCTGTCGTAAGATAACGGATCATCCATCCCACACTAAAAGGGGGAACCATAGTCGACGTTGGCTTCATGAAGGCTGGAGCTAACAGTGAACTGCGGGGCGATTATTGAAATGATATCGACTCTATGTCGCTGCTTTGTCGTATTGCACCATCGACTGAGTGCACTCAGTCGATAGTGCGACATGACAAAGCGGCGACTAGAGTCGATATCATTTCAATAATCCCCCCGCTGATGAACAGCTGAATGGTGCAGCAGAGGATTCATTGCTTTAGTGTGATATTAGTTCCAATGCGAGAATGAAGCTGATACGTAGATTTATAACACTTTGATTCGGACAGTTCATTTGTTTCAAGCTTCACACTTACTGATACCAAACTACCCTTTCAGAAAGTAGTCGTTGGAATGTGAACCGTGTGCATTAATGTCTAGTTTAGAATTTGAAATAAAGGGAGAGAACAACATAAGTACTTACGGAACGTTTCGCATTTTCCATAATTCTGTGTAGGCGGGTAGCCATTTCAAATTTCAACAGCAAAACGATGCGTGGGTGGCTTGGCTTGGTTTTGAGAGCTCATTTGGGCGCGAAAACAGATAAAGACCCACGCCGCAGGTCGGCATTCGTACAGTATGGAAAGTAGTTGAGGGACGGATTTCTCCCAAGCGTCAAAGGGCATTTCGGCTGAATTCATGCCTTGCAATGGCAAATTAATACTTCGGAAATCGAAAGTTCAAAACTGAAACTTAAATTCTCACCACACCAACCACATTAACCTCTGGTATAATATTTATAAACTTGAAGCGCAGTTGTACGGAATTTTAAGCCTTGCTTTTCTGTCTTACCTGATCCTGAACAATAAACATAAACATAACCAAAAACCAAACAATTTCAAAAGCCGACACCGGGTCACTGGATACCGCGATTCTATTATTTCAACTTTCTATCGATTCGGATTCCGAAAGCAGCAATGTTAAAGAAAATTCAACTATCTCGAAACGGACTTCACATCGGACTTAGGACAGACGCATAAGAACAAATCTCGAATATAGCTCAAACAGTGAACTGAGATTGATAGCGATCAGTTCTGTGCGGAGGTACCTAGCTATCAACAAGTGATCAATGTGAGAGTTCTGAATGCCAGTTTTTATACATAACGACAGTATGTAACCTTACACTGGAACTACAATTTTTTCTCATAAAAAAGGAAAAATTTCCAGCCCCCAGGTAAGATAATTTTTAACCTGCCTCTTAAAGTTGATTTGTCTTGAAGTCCCTTGGTTGTTGAACTGGAGAGGGAAGATTTCTTCAATTAGTTCAAAAATCTTTGACTTGTAGGGTCTTGGACCCACAGGCCCTAAAACCTCCATTGCTTCTGCGCTGGAGTCTGAGAAATAGTTTGCAAGGAAAGTAGGTAACTGCTCAATTCTAAGGAAATAATTGGCTACAACCAAAGCATTACTTGTGACACAGGAATACTGCGCTCTATTGACTGCGATTCTGTGGCCTAACATATTCCTACCTTATTGAATTTTACAATGACCTCCACTGCAATTAATTTTTAACTACTGAGCTTAGGTTTGATGCCAGAAAACCTTTACGTTAATCATGACATCTGTTGAAATTTCAAGGTACCGAGTCCTGGAATTTTATTAGTAGAGGTGTCATCAGCTAAGTTGGTATTTGCTTACTTTTGTTTGCAAGCAACTGCATTGCATTCGTTCTGTAGCGATCAAGAATTGACCACAGCATAACCGCCAGCAATGTTGCTGCATGCCTCCATTGTCCTCTCTATCACCATTGGATGACTGCAAAGTAGTTGCTTGCAACTGGAAAGTCAACAAGCTGCTGACTGATAGAGGAAGAAGTCTGCAGGGCGATTATTGAAATGACATCGACTCTATGTTGCCGCTTTGTCGTGTCGCGCCATCGACTGAGTGCGACTCAGTCGATGGCGCAACGCAACAAAGCGGCGACATAGAGTCGATATCATTTCAATAATCGGCCCGCAGTGGATCAAATTATTAAGCATTGATCATGAGAACTATATTTATTATTTTCGAGATGGACCAGAGTGCTCTTCTAAGTTTCAATATTGTATAAATACATATATTAAAAATGTCTCCCTCTTACTTTTATTTTCAGATGTTCATCTCAAACAGACGATCTACAGAAATCTAATCCTTTTACGATTAGTACTCTGGTGGAAGTAAACACAAGGATTATGTCATTCTTTTAATCAAAATTCAAGTCTTCATCAACACTACATCTGCGCAAATGTTATTCTTCAACGTCAGTGGGATTAGTACTTTGGTGAAAGCAAACACAAGCTGAATGGCACCTTTACTCAAGATTGAAACTTAATACCCAAACTGGACCATTCTGGATCTCTGCTCTTCATGCTTATCTTTAACTTCTGTTGCATTTTTATTTTTAATTTTAATGAATTTAGTAATTTTGAACTTCTTGCGTAAAAATGATAACGTGCTTCAAGTGCAGAAGAAATTTTCAGTCCCTCAATGACTTAATTCTCCATTTTAAGAAAAAAAAATCTGAAGGAGGCCATGACATGAAACAGAATGAACCTGTGCAATGCATGTTCAATGGTTGCCCTCGTATTTTTACCAATCGTCCTTCATTCACAAAACATTTTTCTAGCTCACACGCTAAGGAATTATTACATCTTCAAAATTCCCTTTCATCAGCTGACTTAAGTCAACATGTTGGTATGCTGATTCCTTCACCCATCGTTCAAGGCACAGGGAATGATGCTTCTTCACCAAGTGGTGACAATATCGAACCCAGTAATGGGAATGGTTCTTTCTTTCAAACTCCTGCCATCAGTCCTGTTCCTTTCGATACTAGGAATGAGAATAAATTGTGTGAAGACCAGCAAGTATTGAAAGAAATCATTACCGAAAAAATAATTAATTTCTCTGCACTGTTAAATGGTATCCCATCAATCAATGCCTCCCAAGTTCAGCTGTCTATTGATCACGTCACTAGCCTTATGCAAGATGCGACTCTTTTCTGCAAAATGCAAATTTCCGGTCTATGTAAAAATCTAAGCCCAGAGCAGATTAATATTGTCTCTATAAATACAGAGAAAAATTTTTCTTTCATTGAAAACACTTTTTCAAAATTGAGTTCCCATTATCAACAATTAAAATTTTTTGAAGATAAACAATTATATATTCCGCCAATAAAAATTGATCTAGGCCAGGTTTTAAAACGCAGGAAACGAAGGAGGAAAGTATTTTGTCAGATTTCACGTAAGTACAAGTTTGTAACATCTTATCAACTCGTTCCTGTCAAAGAGTCAAGTGCTTTCATGTCTATAGAAGGAACTTTAAGCTTGTACCTCAGTCAAGAAGGTGTATTCGAGGATATTAAACAGTATGTGAGCAATCTGCCCACTAATGGTGAGTACTTGGAAAACATCACTCAAGGTACCTGGTGGCAGGGTAATGTGCAAATAGGGGATTTAAGTACATTACCTATCTATGTATATAATGATGACATCGAGTGTGGCAATGTTTTGGGGAGTCATGCAGGGGTGAATAAACTTAATGTTACTTATGTATCAGTTGCTTGTCTCCCACCCAATAAAAGGTCGCGGCTTGATCACATTTTTCCAGTTCTTATAACGAAAGCTTCAAACAGAAAATTTTTTGGGAATGCCCTTACTTTCAAACCAGTCATTGATGAACTAGATGAACTCCTTAAGAAGGGAATAACAGTTAAAATTTCAGGAAATGAAGAAAAGATTAGTCTTAGGCTTCCACTTCTTCTAGGAGACAATCTAGGTCTCAATACTATTTGCGGTTTCACAGAGAACTTTTCTACCAGCAAGCATTATTGCCGTATCTGTCGAGCATCAAATTTACAAATGAGGAAAATGGTAGTTGAGAACTCCTTTGTACTGCGAACTGAGGAAAATTATGAAGCGGATGTTTTGAAGCGAAACATGAAAACTACAGGTATTAAAGAGCGATGTGCCTGGAATAAAATTGACGGGTTCAATATTGTAAATAATGGCTCGATTGATGTGACGCATGATTTATTGGAGCAAGGCGTTGTAAAGTATGTTTTAGTTTTCATTCTGCGAGTTATGATTTATAAGTTTCATTATTTCACACTAAACAATCTAAATTCCATCATATCCAGTTTTAATTTTGGTGTCGACATGCCAAACAAACCTCCCCCCCTAGGTCCAAAACATTTGAAAGAAAATAAACTACGATTATCTGCTTCGGAATGTCTGTGCTTTCTGAAATATTTAGGTTTGCTCGTGGGATCATATGTGCCCAGGACGTCTAAAGTCTGGAAATTGTACTTTCTTCTTAGGAACATTACCGATGTTCTTCTCAGTCCTGTGATCCCCAAAAATGTCCCTCCACTCCTGAAGAAATTAATAATTCAGCATCATACACTTTACCAACAACTATCTAAGAAAAATCTCACAGCTAAATTTCATAATCTAATTCACTATCCTCGGTTCATTGAAATGTTTGGACCACCTGTACACTATTCAACCATAAGATGGGAAAGCAAACATCGCTTTGCCAAAGGCGTTGCTAATTCAGTGGCAACACGCAAAAATTTGCCCATAACAGTTGCTAAAAAGTGTCAATTAAAAGTGTGCCATGATGCATTTGCTAACAGGTTTGCTAAACCTGTTGTAGAGTGGGGGAAGCTAGAAAGCAATTGGAATCACAGCAATTTTGTTGAAAATTCAGCTTGTTTCATTAATTCTGGTTCCTTACCTCAAAATCTTCAAGATAAGCATACGCTGAGTACAACGTGGGCAGAAATTGATGGAACAAAATATGATATCGGGGGAACTCTTCTCTTTGATGTAGACCCCATGGACAGAACTCCAATGTTTGGCCGCATAGAAAAAATTCTTGTCGATAGAGTTCAAGAAGTTCATTTTTTATTGAGAAATTATCAAACTTTGAATTTCAATCGACACTATTATGCTTTTGAAACTCAAATTCTTGACACTTTCTCTATCCGCAAAAGTAGTGCACTGGCAGACTATCACCCTCATACCCTTGTCATCCTTCCCAGTGGCTCCTTTGTCTCTTTGTCCCACTTTCATACTAGGTTTGATCCCAACTTCTTCAAGGACTGAAAATTGATGAGCCTAAACCATCAATAATGGATGAAATTCCATCTTGAACTCTACCCTCTTTGATTTTAGCCTCTGTACCTATCATGAAATCTACATGTATGTAAATATTTTGATTTTGATGAAACCGCCTCTCTCTGAAAACCTAAGCAAGCTGCAGCTAGCCCTGTAGCAGTATTTACGTGCCAACCCAAACCCATCAAGTGTGTGATAATGAACTTCTGAAAGCGTGCCATAAAATTTCAGTCATAGTAAGAAAGGCGAAGGCTTAAATTTTAAGAAATTTGCAGCACACAACCTCGTTAAGGCTTAGGTATAGTAAAATTTAATTTCTTGTTTGTTAATAATGTATGTTAAAATATATGTGGATGTACAAAAAAGTAACAGCGATAGTTTTTATTTGTTTATTTTAATACCTTGGTACTTACTCTACTCTGATTTCGTTACCGAGGAATTGGCTCCTGATTTCATGTTACGTCAAAAGAAGAACATGAACAATACTGCATCTATCACTAATCTAATTCTTTTTTTTCTGCTGTTTAATGGCTTTATGACTAAGCACCTGCAGCTAATCTAATTCTTACGGTTCCCTTTTCTCGATTAGCAGTCCCTAACATGAACATAACCTATCAAGTTTGTAATGAAAATAATGAAATTGTGATTCTGAATCTGCAGATGGAGAACTATCAAGTTGACCAGGTAGGTTGATTGTGCAATATAATCTTTGGATTCCTTTAGGTTTGTTGTCCCGCTCTTTGTTCCCTCGCCCTCGGCGTGATACC